AAAAGAAAAAAAAGGAAAAATAAAGGAAGAAAAAATGAATAAAAATGTAAAAAAAAAAAACAGAAAAAGAGAGGGAAAAAAAAGAAAAAGAAGAAGACAAAAAGAGAAGAAAAAATGAAAGTGTGAAAAAGCAAGACATGACGAGAAAAATTAAATAAAAGAAATTTTTAAAGGGAAAAAAGTGGGGAAAAAAAGAATGGAAAAAAAAAGACCAAACAAGAAAAAATGAAAACTGAAAGGAAATACAAGAGGAAAAAATACAAGACAATAAATAAGAAACAAATGAATTAAAACATAGCTGGCTAGCTTGGTTAATGTTGCTAATCTGCTATATTATGTTAATTAAACAGCATTATGTGCTAATATAGCCAAAAATGTGAAGAACAGCTAGTGGTGAAGTCACATGATCAGATCAATTCCCATGGCCTGGTCAAGGGGGCGGAGCTTAAGTTAAATCCAAGAGATTTTTAAATTTGTTTAAAAGGAATTTTATTGTATAAATGAAACCAGTGATTAATTTTAAAGCAAAGAAGAAAAGATTGCCAGTCATAATGTCACATGTGATCACCTGATCAAATTTTACTTAAGCTCTTCCCCTGCTGACCTTTTACAATGCTAAATCAAGCCAGGGAAGTTCAGAAAACATCTCTGCTAGTCATGAACTTAGCAATTTATACTTTCAGCACAGAACCTTGTAACTATTTTTATCACATTGAAGTGGATAGTTTTCAGCAGGTAGTGTGAGTTATCCTAACAAAGCTGTGGTCTTTAAAACCCTTTTAGCAGATTTAGCACAAGGCAGAATTGGTGAAAAAGCAGCAGGAATGTCTAAACAGAGCAGGAAGTGAAGCCTTGTTGCTAACAACACTGGCCTGGTGAGGTTTAGAAACATCTAAATATGGAACATGAGCTGTATACAGGTTGTGTAGATAAACAACGGATTAACGTGAAGAATGTAGAGACCAGCTGTGGAACTCGATGTTAAACACACTGAGGATGACTAGTGCTACTAACAGAATATTTTATTTTGAATTATTTATATATTTTATGGAGAATTAAATAAAAAATGATACCTTGTTAAATCAGATTTTAACGCAGAAGTGCTCCTTTAGCAGAAATTGCTGAAAAAGTTAATGCTGGCTATGATAGAAAGGTGTCAGAACACACAGTGCATTGCAGCTTGCTGTGCAGCAGACCAGTCAGAGTGCCCATGCTGACCCCTGTCCACTGCCGAAAGCACCTACAATGGGCAGGTGAGCATCTGAACTGAGCCATGGAGCAATGTAAGAAAGTGGCCTGGTCTGATGAATCACTTTTTTTTTTTTTACATTCTTTTACATCATGTGGATGGCCGGGTGCATGTGTGTCGCTTACCTGGGGAACAGATGGCACCAGGATGAACTATGCAAAGAAGACAAGCCTGCAAAGGCAGTGTGATGCTCTGGGCAATGTTCTGCTGGGAAACCTTGGGTCCTGGCATTCATGTGGATGTTACTTTGACACGTACCATCTACCTAAACATTGTTGCAGACCAAGTACACCCCTTCATGGCAACGGTATTCCCTAATGGCAGTGGCCTCTTTCAACAGGATAATGCTCCCTGCCACACTGCAAAAATCATTCAGGAATGGTTTGAGGAACATGACAGAGAGTTCAAGGTGTTGACTTGGCCTCCATATTCCTCAGAGTTCAATCCAATCGAGCATCTGTGGGATGTGCTGGACAAACAAGTCCGATCCATGGAGGCCCCACCTCGCAACTTACAGGACTTAAAGGATCTGCTGCTAATGTCTTGGTGCCAGATACCACAGCACACCTTCAGAGGTCTTGTGGAGTCTGTGCCTCGACGGGTCAGAGCTGAAGGGGGACCTACACAATATTAGGCAGGTGGTTTTAATGTTATGGCTGATTGGTGTACATATAATCACCCTGAACCACGTGGCAAAATGTGTTATGGTCTGATGAGACCAAGGTAGAACTTTTTTGGGCATAATTCTAAAAGAAAAATAAGATAGCTTATCACCCAAAGGACACCATACCCACAGTGAAGCATGGTAGTGGCAGCATCATGCTATGGAGTTGCTTCTTTTCAGCTGGGACGGGGGCTGTAGTCAAGATAGAAGGACGCATAGATAGCTCCAAATACCAATCTATTTTGGCACAAAACTATTTTGGCAGACCCCTGTTTGATAGCTGAAGATGAAGAAAAATTTTACCTTCCAGCACGATAACGACCCAAAGTACAAATCCAAGTCAACAAAGGAATGGCTTCAGAAGGAGAAGATCAATGTTTTGGAATGGATCAGTCAGAGCCCTGATCTAAATCCTATTGAAAACCTGTAGAATGACTTGAAGAGGGCTGTCCATAGGAGATCCCCTCAAAATTCAGATCTGGAGCATTTTTGTAAGGAAGAGTGGAATAAAATTGCCAAATCACGATGTGCTAAGTTGGTAGACTATTACCCAAAAAGACTGAATGCTGTATTACAAGCAAAAGATGCTTTACCAAAGTATTAGTTAAGGGGTGTGCACACTTTTGCAATCAGGTTATTGCAAGTTTTTATTATTATTATTATTATTACTTTTTAAATCAAATGTTTCTATTTGTTTTTCACTTGTTTCACTGTTTCACCCTTTTTTTTTACTTAACTTGGTCCACTATAACCTATTCAAACCTTTTTTTTGTTTTAATTTGGATTGTTACTTTGGGGTACATTCCTTTGAGACAACGGTGTGCAACAATGGTAATAATAAGGAAAATGCTATTTAAAAAAAAAAAAAAAAGAAAGATCATCTTTTTTATTGACATGACATGAAAGAATATCATTAGAAAGGTAGACCAAAAACATAACCAGGTAATTGCATTTTCTTTTTTAGTAGAGGTACTTTACCCCGAAGGAACCTTGGAAGGTTTTGGAAGTCAAAAACATTTTGCAATTAAATTCACACAGTAAGAAACCTAAACAGTAAAAAAAACCCAAAAAAAACACTTTGTCCTTATTCTGAAAAACAGACCAAAAAACAGCTTGTATGCCACCATAAAACACATCCTGTAGAAGCAGGCACTACTGCTTCGTCATGTAGTCCTACTTAAATTTTGTAGAACTTTACTGCATATGAAAGTCCATGAAGCAGTTTTTCTCAGTGATAAAACAGAGAAACACTTCACACTTGGTGCACTGAACCTTGATAATGCCCTTGTAGCCAGAGAATTTGCATCTTCCTCTGTTTTCACAGTCGACAGGCCAGTGTGACAGGTGCACCAGCCTCATTTTCTTCTTCATTTGCCTCTTGGTCTGCTTGATCTGAAGCTATCAATACGTCAATTATGATAATAATTAAAATGCACTGCAAAATTTACTTATATGTTGTAAAAAAAGAATACAAATCAATGAATGTCCTGAACTGTATGAACTCTCTGCATGAAGCCTATACCTAATGCCGAATCATCTGACTCATCTTCACCGTCTTCCTCCATGACATTCCTTTCCACCCAACTCTGCTTATTCTCTACTGTCTATCTCATCCTCAAGTGGGAAAGCCTGGGCTGCCACACATGCCTCGCATCCAGGAAAAGAGTTTGAAGAAAAAAAAAAATTAGGAAAAGGCCATGTGAGCAAATATAAATACACCATTGGTTACATCTAACCCCACCCTTTTAGAAACAGCATTTACACTTAGGCTCTGTTTGTGTGTGTGTGTGTGTGTGTGTGATAGTACCATACCATTTTTTTTCCTTACTCTGAAGCAACACCATGCAATAAAGGATAAATAATATACTCCAAGTACGTACAGAAAATACTTTTGTCAATTTAAGTGTATACTTTAAAGCAATGCCTTTCAAAGTATCCTTTAACACAACGTATCATGTACACTTCAGTACATAAATTAAACTTAAATAAAAGTAAGTTTAATTGCCTTGTCAACCTAGGTGCATTATTTTAAAAAAAAGCATTAATTATGATTTAGTACAGCAAAGAGTTACACTTCAGTGATGTTATTACTCAACACACTAAAGCAGAGGTCATCAACTGGTGGCATTTGGTCATACTGAGCTTATTATATTACTAAAGGGTATTTTTTTTTAAAGCCAATAAATACTAATACTAAATTCATGCTTTAATAAACATATTCTTTATCTTTTTTTTTGTTTTATTGAGGCCTTTACTTACCTTGTCTGGTGTTGACACAAGTATAGTCACTGTTCATTGATGCAGATTGAGTGAATTCCTTTAACCAGACTTGTTTGGTAGACATTCACAGTGATTCAGTGCTATTACTACGATAAGCAGCAAGTTAGTGTATCAAGTCTATCAAGTAAGTAGCAAGTCAGTGTACTGAATTTGTGCAGCAGTACACCCAAGTGTATGTTTAAAATCCATTTCGGGCATAGTAGAATCTGTGTCCTGGAGGCGCGCATGAGTCACAATTGATGACTCAGTGGTAGAGTTCTTGCCTGCCATGCAAAAGGCCTGGGTTCAATTCCTGGTCAAGGTACAATTGAGACCTGAAGGTTGTGCTTAGATTTTTCTATTTATACCACAGCATGGTTGAATGCTCGAATCTAATTGGTCAAAAGGTGTGCATTATTTTCATGTTCCAGCTGTAACACAAACAATAGGTTTATATTAATGCGCTCGTTCTGATACGTTATTGTTTCTATAGTAACAGTTCATACACAGGGACTTGTACGGTGGACGCTCTGCCTAATCTAAGATTGATTTAGAAGCGGTTGATATGGTGAAGTTCTTTTGTTAGGAGGCATTTGTTAACATTTATGGAAGGAGTCTCGGTTGTAAGCGCTCTCAGTCTCGGTTACGCTTTCCATTTTCCTCAGTAAAATGACTGGCTGTGCTTTGTGTGTGTGTGTGTGTGTGTGTGTGAGAGAGAGAGAGAGGGAGAGAGAGAGAGAGGGAGAGAGAGGGAGAAAAAGAAAGAGAGATCAAATCGAGTGAGTGAGAATGAGGGAAAGAGAGAGAGAGAGGCTGGTGAGTGAATGTTTATCGTGGCTATAATGTAGGTGAGAACAGTAACTAACTTGTCTTTAGGACGTATAGTCTCTCAGACACTAACCATAAACCATTAAAGTGTGTGACATTTCATACATTAATAAATTAGACATTTGACTGCTGTGCTATAAACAGAAGAACAGACTCCAGATCATTCCGTTATGAGAAAATAATACACTTCGGGGGGTAGCGGCACTCAGCTTGTGCGTTGTGCCACATCACCCCCCACCACCCCCCACAACCAACCCCCAACCCTCACCTACCTCTGTGTTATTCTTTAGTTAATTGCATACTTTACAAGTACACTTAAATGATTTTCCCCCAAAATTTTCTTAAATATATTCAGTTATATTTAATGACACTGAAAATTATTTTAAAATGCCATTAAGTTTAATTACAGTGCAACTAAACTGTTTGAAAAAAGCACTCAAAAGCATACTTGTCATAAATTGTTCGAAAATATTACATTTATTATGTATAAAGTGTTAACACTAAAAGTATGTACTTTTAATATTAAGTATACTTTTTTTAAAGTACAGTTAAATACACTTTTCTTTTACAAGGGTTGGGTTTATACCGGTGTACAACTAATAATAATAATAATTATTATTATTATAAGTTTTATGTTATATATGTTTTATTTATTTTGCACCTTTATTAACATATTCAGATTCAGGTGCGATTGTTTGTACAGGTCTCCTTCATCAAGGTTGCTTAGAAAAGGTGCAATATTATTTCTTAAGCATAAAATTTTGAAATTCAGTGTTCTTGTAAAATAATGAGTGACAGATTGGTATGAAGTGAAATTACTGTTACCTCCCTGAAACTGACTATTTACCTATAACAGCATGTCTTCAAGAGTTTTATTCCTCTTACCAATTACAATTATTTATTTATTAAAATCTGACATGTCTCGTCTTTTTTTAAAATCCATACACAGTTACATTTAATGTTGTGGAACATCCGTGAAACACGTTTGTTCCTGTTCTCACTTACGTTAGAGCAGCTATAAACAGTCATTTACTCACCAGTCGTTCTCCTCTGCAATGAAGATGTTCCCATGTCAGCAAACCTAAAGTTACAGCTTTTCCTCTCACTGTTACAAAGCAGTGACACTGAAAACTCCTTCCATAAATGTCAAATAAACATTTCCTCACAGAAAACTTCACAGTGTCAACGGTTACACACATCTTTTAATCCATTTATGTTGAGCGTCCATCATACAAGTCCCTGTTAACGAGCACATTAATATAAACCTGTGATCTGCAGCTGCACTACTGTAGAGCTGCTCTTATAGAAAATTAATCAACATATTTTGACTGGTCAGAACCCAGAATTCAACAACAACAGTGCTGTGGGAAATTTGCATTTTATACACATTAAACAGTAACAGTAATTAAATTACTGTATGTCACGTTCACCTGTTTGCACCACACAATAAATTAATGATCTGTATTTTTACTCATTAGTTGCTTTAGAAGCTCATCTTTTCTTTCCAAGCATTCTTGCTCCATCTTCTCTTCTCGGCTTAATGATGAGGAGGAGGAAATCCCAGAGAGGGGGATGAGGTCAGTATCACATCCTGGGTGGACGACTAATGAGGACAGGAGGACTTAGGTTTTCAGTTCTGTAAGACAGGAGTCCAGAGTTCTCTCCATCAGCTCTTCAACTTCCACATGTGATCAAAGAAAAGTTAAAGCTCTTCTCTGCTTATTATTTATAATTAGCTTCTTACTAACTGATACTAAAATCTCCCGGAAAGTGGCTTGTTTATGAGCTCTCAGGGGACGAGTCAAATTTCTAATTTCAGAAGGAAACATGAAGCACTACGTTTAAAAGACGAGTAAATGCATCATATGTAAAAAAAAAAAAAAAAAAAAAAAAAAAAAAAAAAAAAAAAAAAAAAAAAAAAAAAAAAAAAAAAAAAAAAAAAAAAAAAAAAAAAAAAAAAAAAAAAAAAAAAAACATTTTAAAGATCCATTTTTGAAATTGCTTTATGTTATATAATTTAATTTGTATATAACCTATCCAGCTTGCTAACTAACGATCAAAATTAGCTCATTCATATTTTGGAAAAGGAAAACATCAGATATTGAACTAGCTGTCTCTTGATTTTGCAAAGGAATTTGTCAAAAATTAAGTAATGCCTGGCTAAGTTGATGGGTTTGTTAGTTGTTAGCAATGCCTGGTGAGCTAGCATGACAGTATACCTGCTTTTTATATGAAGCCAGCAAAAAAATCTAGCTCAGTTTATAACAACAAAACTGTGTCAAAAACAAAGCAATACCTATCGAATAAGAGTAATTCTTATTCAGCTTGCTAACTATATAGCAAAACATGCAGTTTAAAAAAGGAAAAAGTACAAATTTACAAACTACATAACTGCTATGATAGTTAGCAAACTTGTTAACTAGCAAGTAAAGCTAACTTACTCTGATTTGAAGAGGAAACCTTTTTGCAGAAATTGAGCAATGACTAGCATTATAGCTATCCAGCTTGCTAATCAGCTCAAAAAGGTAGCTAGCTTAGCAAAACTAGCCAACACAAAAATGGAAACTGTATGACTGTCTGGCTCGCTATCCATCTACCAATACTAGCTAACTTACCACTTTAACCAACTATCTTAAAAAAATAACTGTACCTGTTCAAGCAAGTCAGCTTGCTAACTAAACTAAATATCTCACTGCTTTACAAGGAACCTGTCCAATTTAGCTACAGTCTGGTTAACTAGCATGATAGTTAGCCACCTTGCTAGTTAGCAAACTTGGTTTTCTTGGAAGCACATTTCACAGAATTGAGTCACTCTTGATTGTTATTTACTCACAGTTTTTACAATGCTTTTTGAAAACCCGCTAGTTCACTGTGCGCCAAGTCTCTCATGTCAATTTATGCTTTTTTTTTAGATATGCTGGCAACATTACTTTTATCTAAACTTGCAATTTCATACCCTGTGTTGCTCTTTAAGACAGCAAGACTCGTTATGTTATTCACGTTCACCAAGGCTAATCACGAATTACGCCATTACTTCTGGAACATTCCACTGTTTATCTTTATAGCAATAAAGATTTAAAAGTAAAGCATCTGTATGCGGTCCTTTATATCACTCTGATTGTGGTGGCTGAGTAAAACAGATTGTAAATCCCTCATCAGCAGAATAACAAGCATTAGCATGTGTTTCACACACACCCACACGAACGGGAGGGAAAGCCACCTTTCTCACACCATTTATTTTCTTATTAGTGCCTTAAATCTCACCACACACTTCTCAGAGCTTGTTCTTTAAGGCAGGCAGGTTTATTTACTTCATTATCTCCTCAGCGCTCACGGTGGAGGAAGTAATGAAGCATGTGTTAGCACAAAACCGTAATCTGCTTTAGCAGAAGCTAAACTGCCTATTTAACGATCTTTAATGATCACAAGATTGCCTTGATCGAGTCCTGAGGAGATTTCACTTCTGTTTAACGTGCACAAGACAAAAATAAAGTATAAAATTAGCACACGAGTTTAAGGATGTTGCCGGATAAACAAGAGGAAGCAAGAGATGAGGGAAAGGATGTTACTGGAAGGTCCATTCTGATGTTTAGCAAAGTGTTTGGGTTTAAAGACAAACTGTGTATCAACAACCAGACTCTGAAAAAATCTTGTCTCGGAGGAAAAAAACAACACAATTTTTATGTTTTAAATTGTGCAAACAGCTTCTCCCACCATTTTATTGCTGTTTTAAAAAGAAAACTGCCTCAGAAATTAAGCAATGCCTTGAGAACTAGTATGATAATTAGCCAGCTTGCTATTTAAGTAGCTAAATTTTTGAAAAAGAAATTGTCAAAAAAGAACATATTAAAGTGGCTTCAATGAGTATACAATATGGCTCTGTGGATGAACAGTGGAGCAGCTACAGATTCTGATTTTTATCAGTTTGTTCAGGTAGTTAGAGTCCTTGTCTTTCCCCTTTGCCTTTCTCCCCCAACAGGTATGAACAGTGTGAAAGAAAATACTTGCCACTTCTGACTGGTAAAACATCTGCAACATCTTATTGCAGAAGATAAAGGGCTTGAACCCCCTCAGTAGAGATTTTTATCAGGGAAGGGCCATCTCCATGGTCTTGGAAATATTCATCCCATCTGAAATATTCTGCACAGCCAAAGTCCCCAATCAGACATAGGGCCCTGTGGTGCACCAGTACTGCTCACCCACAGACACAGTGCTTTAACTTGGCAAATTTTGGTCTGCCAGTCAGATAGTCTGTAACCCAGGACATCAGGTGGGCATCCACTTTCATCTCTATCAGCAGGAGGGGCCAGATGGTGTTGAAAGTGCTGGAGAAATCAAATATATAATCCTTCCAGCACCTCGGCTTATCCGAGGGAGAGTAGACACAGTGGAGCATGTAAATGATGATGTCCTGTACTCCAACCTGCTCACTGTAGTTGAATTGTAGGGGATCCGGTTTGCTACAGACTTGTGGTCTCAGAAGATGGAGGACCTGCA